TATATTTTAATCTTAATAATGTTATGAGAAACAATTGTCTTTGACAAGTAAATATTATTCTTAATCGTATGTATACCTGTAAAAATATATTTATATCTGTAAATTACAAAATATATAAGTGAATTAATTTTAATTAATATATATATATATATATATATATATATATATATTAATATTTTATACATTATATATATATATATATATATAACTATACCAAAAATGTATATAATCTTACAAAATAATGCATATTATTATATTTATTGATATACGCAATTGTTTACTTATATACGTATTAGATATTCAAGAATGATACAAATAATGATATGTATACACATTTATGGCAAATAATCATATATACAAATATATATACATTATTATACAATATCGTTATAGTATTTTTTGCCCCACCCTTGTTTTTCGTATCGCAATGCTGCACACCTTGATTTCATGTATTACGTACCTTTTCACCTCACGGATATGAGATAGGTCATATCACGATAGGTAAGAAAGATTTAATTATATAATTTTTTTACGTATAATATATTAAATATAAATATATAATATTATCTTCGTTGTATTAATAATAAGAATTGTATATACGTAAATATTTTTATAAATTTTAATTTTCATGCATATATATATATATGGTTCGCATTTTATACGAATTTATAATTTTTATTTTGAAATTTTATAATTTTGTTATTAAAAATATTATTTAACATAATGCTTTAATTTTTTACTATACTTTCATATTTTATATATATCTATATTTTAATTCATGTTTATATTATAAAATACATCTTTATAGACACTCCCTATTTTTTTAAATCTCTATTTAATAACATTTGACATTACATTTGATAAATATATGTGTAATTAATTTAATATATATGAAATTCTTAAATAAAATCATTCCATAGATTATACATATAACAAAATATGTTTAATATTTTTGAATATATGAAATGATTTTATATGAAATGATTTTCTTTATATATATCATTTATTTGTTTTTTTATTATTTCTTTAGTGAAAATGAGTTCACAAGATACAACTGATCATGTATCAGTAGTTAATTCACCTAATATATCTTCAAGAACAAAAAATTGGGTCCAATTTGAAGATGAAGCACCTGTTAAAAATAATGATAATATAGAAGAAAAAACTAAAACAAATACACCAGCTGTAATAAAACCAGAATCAATAACAGTGAATGTTGAAAAAATTGGAAAATCTGTTGATAATTCAGATAATCAACAAATAAAAAATCATGAATATAGAGGTGCTGTGATATCAACTGAATCCGTCCAAATTAATTTAGATAGGTCAGGTTTAAGTCGTTCTATTACATCTGAAAGTCCAGAACTTAATTTACCATCTGAAATAAGAGTTTCTGATCCTAAAAGTGCTTCTTTGAAGACTATTGATCTCCGAGATATATCCAATGGCAGAAGTGTTACTAATAATATTATAAGTACATCTATTGGAAATATTAGACAAGGTTTTGCCAATGGGGATACTATAGTTACTCTTTTACCAATCAATACTAGATGGCCATGGATTACTCCAGCTAAATTTCGTCCAGAATTAGTACCAGAAGAATTAATGGCTCAAGGTTTAACGGTACATTTCCAATTGAATTTTATTTTTTTTTATAATATATTTATATATTTATATATTTTTAATATTTAAAATTATTTTTTATAAATTTTATATTCATATTTATATAAATTATATTTTTATAGCTTACAGTAGAAGATTACGTACATATAATGGAGTTGCTTGTGAATGATGTACGTTTCAATATGTATAATGTATGTTACAAAAGGATTCTTGTTCTTTGGATATTTACTGCATTTATTGTATTGCTTGGCTTATTATTTTCTGGAGTTACTGGTCTTACTTTATTTGGGCTTGGCGTTATGTGGTTAGTCCTCAATGCTGCTGCAATATTTTTTTGCATGTTCATCAAGATAAAATTGAATCATAATCTTGAAAAATGTATGGGGCAAGTGAACAAGCATTTACTTCGACATAAAATATTGCTTGGATTGGATGATAGAGGAAAGATTTCATGTCACAAAGTCAATCTTTGCTTCATATACTTTGATACTACAGATTGCATTGTAAGTGTCATTGAATATGTATTTAATTTAAACACTTAGAGCTTAATGTAATTGAGTTTGTACAAAAAAAAAAATTTCTTTTAATTGAAATTAAAAATTTTTTGAAAATTTTTGTATTTTATTATATATTATTTTATATATAATATATTATTTTATATATATTTACTAATAATATATTCAAAATTTAATCAATATATAATATATTTGAATATAATTAATATATTTAAGACTTAATTTGTTTTATAATAGAAAAAATTACAAGAAATTATAGAACGAGAAGAACGCGAAGGAAGAATAATAGGAGAAGATGGAAATTCTGAAATGCGTCGAAAAAGGGAGTTACAACAGCGAATGGATATAGATGATAGTGATATTGTAATACAAGGCAATACAACTACTAGAATTTCTCGCAAACAGGTACATAATTTTTATTTTAAATAATTATTTTATAAAAATTAAATTTATTAATTATCTTGAATTTTTTATATTTACAAAATTTTAATAATATATATATTATAAAAACATTATTTATATATATCGTAAAAATATATATTTTTTTTCCTTTTTTTTTGTGAACTTCACAATATATTATTTTTTGTATAATAAATTAAAAACTGTTAGGGTAAAAGTGAACAAGTATTCTGCCGCTATGTACAACGTTGGGCAAAGGATTATTTACGTCGACGATTGGATTGGACAGTAGATGAGGAAGGTGGAAATCCTTCTTCACCTCGTCATTTAGCATCAGCTTTATGTCCGTGTCAATATATAGAAGAATGGTTACGTAATAAACCTCATGTTCAAGGCAGAGATTTCTGTCCTAGCTGGAGTAGTTTTCTTAAAGATAGAGGCATTTAAAACAATATTATTTAATATACATATAAACTAACAAATAAAAATATATAACAAAATTAAAATCAGTATTGTTTAAAGCAATATTGATAAATTTAAAAAGAAACTTTTTAACTTATACAAGTTATTTTAATATCAATAAAAATTTATTTAGAAATTTATTTTTTTGAAAAATTAAATGAAAGATACATTAAAAATCAAAGAATTTAAATAGATTTAATTATTTGTTAATAATATGAGTGATATTATTAAAAATAGATGAATAATCAAAATTTGTTTTATTAAAAATTAATAAAACAAAATTAAATTATGAAATATGAAAAGTACTTATAATGTACTTAATTATATAAGATTTTTATTTGTAATAATTGCAATTAAATTTCTAAATAATATTAATATATGAAACATTTTTTAGAGTTATTTTTTGGTGATATGGATTATTATACTTGACTATAATTAATACTATTTTTATTACATTATTTGTTAATTAATATATTATTAAATATTTAGAATTCAAATTAATATTTGTATAAATCTTGTATAATTACACATATGTGTATGTATTACAAGCTTTATTTTTAATATTGCATATAATTGTACATAATATTTGGATATCATATAATTCAGAATAATTAATTTGATGTAGAAAAATGTAGTTTATATATAGAAAATATTTTTGTAAAATGGTGAATATGAATAGTGAATAATGGCGAATAACAAATTTTTTTAAACAAAAAATGGTAAAAATTTCTGTTAAAAAAAAAATTTTGTAATCTGTTATGTCTTTATGTTTAATTACATATTTTATATATAACAGATTTTTCAAGTTTTATAAATAAGTTATATACATTATTATTAATGTATATAAAAACAGATTTAGGCTACTTCAGCTCTAGGTTTCTGAATGATGATGGTATGTGTTGACAGGAACGGGCGGAGTTGCTGTTGCTGAGGTATGCATCTCGATGGGCACATCACTTTGTGCGCCGCAGACTTGATCTGGTTATAGACTCACAGGAACGTAATAGAGACATCGCGGGTTTATCTGTTCCACCACGTCATTGTGTCTCCGCCCGTTGTCCTTGTCAATTCATTGAGGACCATCTTAAGTACAAGCCTAGAGGCAAGTTAATATTTCGTACCTTTTTTTTGATGCCGAATTTTGATAGTAAATAACTAAAATTAATTACTTGATAATTATGATATAATCATAATTCAAAATAATTAAAGCAATCAATTATATGTTCCTAGAATCTATGTTTGTTATAAATATATGAAAACATATGAAAAATTTATATCATAAATCATGTGAAAAAATAGCAAATTGACATTAATTATTAATATAAATAGTTGAATTACAAACAACTACAAATAATATATTAAAAATATGCAAAAAAATTTGATATTATTTTTTATTGCGATATAAAATTACTAAAAGTTTTATTCAAATATTTATATTATATAAATTGTTTTTATTATATTAATTGTTTGATAATAGTAGTATTTTAATGTGATCTATATTTTATATATCATCAAAATTTACATGTAATATCAAATATTTTGTAATTTTCATTTATTCCATTTTATTTTTGAGTAATACAAATAATATTCACCATTTTATAATGGCATATTATGTTAAACATAAAAAAATAATAATAGAGATAAATATCTGAAAAAAAAAAAAAGTATAATCATTCCATTATATTATTATTATTCTTCATAAATCGAATTTTATTTTAAAATTCATAAAACATTTGATACATGCTTTTATAACAATTACACAATGAATTTTATAAAAATGATATATATACGTATATATATTATATACGTAATAGTATATAATTTTTCAATAGTAATATTGAAAAATTATGTATATACAAATTATGTTATATAGTTAAATTTTAATATTATAGATGAATTTTATATTTTTGGTTTTAAAAAAAATAATTCCAGTATTCATTTAAGTTAAGACAATTTATTTAATTGTTAAAATGATATTAATTGATCGCAATTTGAAATAATTGCGAATACTTGATCGTTATTAATGTTATAAAAAAACATACAACAATTAATCTAAATATATATCTGAATTCCGTCCTAATTGAACATATCATATTATGTAAAAAGTATAATTAATATATTGTATACTTTTATATTCCGTTTGAAAATACTTAATCTGTAAATGAACAGAATTATTCTACTTTTATATAAAACAAATGTAAAGCACTTTTATATTATTGTTACAAATGTTATAAATAAAGATCAACACATAATATATGTTTTTTTGGTGGAGGTACAATTGTATTTCTGTAAAGAACCTTTTCATTTATGTAGATTAACTAGTTCATAGAAATCTTTTGCTAAGTCTGATATACCTTATGTGTATATTTTTCTAAAACATAGGTATTTGTCACTAACCACTGACTAATCCAGGGATTACTTGCATGCAGCTGGAAAAAAGGCAATACATTTTGATATTTCATTTCAATCACATTTTGTGAACACATGAAAATCATTTACTATGTAATATAATTGTAAGTATATATATTAAACTTTTATTTTACGATGTATTTTAAAGCAAACATGATATACATGATACTATCTATATATAGTATACTATAAATATGTTATATACTAGTAGATAATTGCTTCATATGTTTTTTATACATTATTTACATTATAATAATAAAAAATAATGATATAATGAAAAATTTGCTTAATAAATTTTTAATTATTAAATATTCATATATAATATCTTAAGTTGTTTAATTGAAAACATTAATTTAAAATTTTGTACATAATTTTTTCAGGATATCCATCAGGCTTTACATGGTGTGCTTATCTTAATGATCCATTAGTTAAATATGATATTACAATAGGCATTCCTAATTAATAATATCAATAATTGAATGATTGCACAATACTTAAGACATTTTGAAAAAAAATAGTTGTAAATTTTAATAATAGATATTATTTTATATTTTGAACTATTTTTAGTATACAATCTGAGAAAAATTTATATCAAATTAATCTTTAAGTTCTAAATCAAAATATTTATAAAATTATTATATATTAAATTATACTTGTATATATTATATTTTTATTATATTTATATATTTTTATATTATGAATTCTTTTAAATAATAAAAGGAAAGAAATAAATCATTTAAAAAAAAAAGTTGAAATAATATAATAATGTAATAAAAGTTGTAATAGTTTTTTGATATAAAATTTTCATTATAAAGTACATATTCAAATATTTATAAATTTTTGAAATATAAAACTTTCAAATTAAAATAAAAATTAATAAAATTTATATTCAAAATTGATTATCAAATGTATTATTATAAATGCCTCTTAACTATTATTACAACAATCTTATTTAACATAAAAATTATAAAAAGTTGCAAAAATTATAAAAAAATTATAAGATTAATTTAAAAAATATCACAATTATATTATTATTATAAACTATATTATATAATATGTATTATATTAAAATGTGAATATGTGAATATTAAATTTATATTAAATATAAAAATTATTGTATATACATAAATTATATATGTATAGAAATAACATCAGAGAATGATTATTATAAGATTTATTTTTATAAAGTTTTTAAATTATACTTGTATATATTATATTAGCATTAATATTTTGTATAAAAAATATTATCTATATGCATATAATAAAATATTTAATTATAAGTAAAATTGTTTTATATTATTAATTAATATATGAAGATAAGAAAAATTCTACATTAAAATTTTTTTATAAAAGAAATTAACCAAATAATTTCGATATTATTTGCAAATATAAATACTTATGTTATTAATGCAGCTTGTGCTTGTTCTTTAATATTATCTGCAAGTCTTTTTATTTCTTCATTATTAGTTTTAAGTTGTTGTTCTTTGCCTTCAAGAGTAGTTTCCAAATATTTTAACTGTTGTTTTATGTGTAAATACATTTTTACTTTCTGATATGTATCGGAAGTATTTGCGTTCATTAAATTTTCTCCAGAAATTTCATCTGAAAAAAATTTATATTTTTATATAAATTAATAAATTGTAAAATAAATTATAATATAGAATTTGAAATTGGTCACAAAATGAGGTTAACTAAATTTAATTTAAGCTTAAAATAAGGTTATGATTTAAAATATTATATTTTTTTTTTTTCTTAATATTAGTTATAATAAAGACAAAAAATAATACCTTTACGAATTATTTTAAATGCTATGTCATCTATAGAAGAATTATTAAGATCTTCTAACATATGTTCAGAATTTGGAATACGAGGTCTTGGTGGTAAATTATTCTTTTTATTACTAAACATGTTCATATAATATATATTCGTTTTACTTTTTTTATTTTAAATATTTGTAGATTACTTTTTTATACATGTATATATATATCTATATATATATATATATATACATATATATATATATAATAGTCATATACTTATTAATAAAGAAATTTAAACTAAATCACATAAATTACATATTTATTGATTTTTAAAATTAGAATATTCTATTTAATAATAACATATCGTTCTCTTTTTATTGAATTTAAAATTCTATAACTTACAGAAGTTTATATTTTGAATATAAAATATAAAAAAATAATTATCGAGATCAATATTTTTGAATCTTTACTTTTTTTTAGAATTTAATTTGACTATAAAATATTGTTGTACCATTATGAAGTGAAGTTAGGTATAAAAAAAAGTATAAAAAATATTCATTTTATTTTTATTCAAAATTGCATTCATGCTTCTATAAAAGGAATGTATTTTTTGAGTTATTTTATTATCTGATTGATTTATTTTTTTAAAATAAAATTTTTTTCTCAAATCAAATAATATATATTAAATCATTAATATAAATCATAAAATGGAAATTATTTCAAATAAGAATTTATTAAATTTTGGAATCATTCATATTAATAAAAATTTATATTATATTTAAAATTAATTATGGTATTAATTTTAATAAAAATTTCATAAAATTTTTTTATAAGCAAATTTAATTATTATTTCTTCTAATTATTATTTCTAATTATTATTTTATATTTTATTATTAAGTATATAAATTTTATATTATATACATTTATTATAAATTTGTTTTGAATAAATATTTTGCAATTTTATTTATAAATTATTAAATTTAATATAAATTTATTTTGATATTATTTTGATATTTATAGTATATATAGTAAATTTATTTATTTTAATTTAATATATAAATAATATTAATTTTATAATAAAATTTATAATAAAAGAATAAAAATATACATGATTTAAAACTAAAATATCTATCTTCCTAAATGTTATGTACATTTATATTTATATATTTATATATCTTTTTTTAGTTTATCCATGAATTAAACTGTCAATTGAATTAAATTTCATGATATCGCGCAGTTTTCAAAATTTCTTGAAGCTCATGCCGGTAAACATTCTTTTCAATTTTTCATATATATTTACAAATTACATAAAACAAAATAAAAGAAGTTATTTTTACATTATTATTATTACTACCATAGTATTGATAATTTTTTAGTATTTTGTGTACACAAACGCAATCATGCCGCCAAAACGAAGCCGAGTTTTAAAGGTTAGATTAATATATAATAGAATATATTCATTTTATTACAAATTAAAGATAATTTATAAAAAATATTTTAATTTTATTTTCAATTAGTCAGACTCTACGGAAATTAAAAATAAAAATAAAAATAAAATATCAAAAATAGAAGAAACGCCAAATAAAAGATCTAAACGCAATACAGATCATACTGAAGAACCCTCAGCAAAGCGTGCTAAAATAGATGTAAAATCAATTATAAATAAAACAGATACAGACTTGAATGAAATTAATTTCGATTGTTTAAAATTAAACGCAACAGGAAATAAATATAATTTAAAAATATCTAGTTGGAATGTTTCTGGCATAAGAGCAGTAATAAAAGTATGAAAAATCATTATTGTATTTTATGTGAAAAAAATTTTATATTATATTACTATTATGTTCATTTAGAAAAATGGAATAAAATATATTGCAAAGGAAGATGCAGACATAGTTGCATTGCAAGAGACTAAATGCGATTCCAATAAATTACCTGAAGAAATTAGATTAAATGGATATCATTATTATTTTCTTGAGAGTATATTAAAAATATTTATAATTAGAAAATAATTATAAATAGAAATATTTATAATTAATTATAAATTTTTATTTACAATTATATTTTATATTTATATTTTTATTAAAAATAGGTAAAAAATCTGGATATTGTGGTGTTGCATTATTCACAAAAGAAAAACCAATTGATGTAAAATATGGTTTAAGTAATTCTGAATTTGATAATGAAGGTAGATTAATCACTGCAGAATATCCAAATTTCTATTTAATTAATGTTTGTAAGTTCTTTAGATTTTATATGAATATAAATCTATGTATAGTTTTATATTATATTTTTTAATTATGCAGATGTTCCTAATGCTGGTCAAAAATTAGTAACATTACCAAAAAGATTAAAATGGAATGAAATTTTTAAAACATATGTAAGAAATCTAGATGAGAAAAAACCTGTTATTATTTGTGGTGATATGAATGTTGCTCACAAAGAAATAGGTAAAAATTTATTTAATTAATTTATAAAATTATGTAAATTAATTTTCTAATCTATTTAGATCTCAGAAATCCAAAAACAAATACAAAAAATGCTGGATTTACTAAAGAAGAACGAGATGGTATGACAGATTTCTTAGCAACGGGATTTGTGGATATATTTAGAGCTTTATATCCTGATAAAACAGATGCATACACATTTTGGTCATATTTTGCTAATGCACGTAGTAAAAATATAGGATGGTGAGTATGTAAAAAAATTTTTATTAACATTTTAAAATTATTTTATTATTTTTAATTTTCTTTTATACAGGAGATTGGATTATTTTTTAGTATCAGAACGAATTAAGGATAATGTTTGTGATAATGTTATAAGAGATAAAGTATATGGCAGTGATCATTGTCCTATTGTACTTTATATCAACATATAATGAAAAATGGAATATTTTATAATTAAATTATATGTAATTGTGTATTTAAATAATTTACTAACTTTGATGTATTTAACATATTTATCTTATCTTTTAAAAATAAAACTTGATCAAAAAAAAAAAAAATCTATGATTTGTTGATATAAATAAATTTATGAAAAATAAATATTTACAAATCTTATTTATTTTTTTTACATTATGTTAAATGTAAAATTATGTTTGAATAAATTCAAAATATTAATTTATTATAAATTTGTCATATTTATATTATATTTTTTTTGAGTTCTAACCTACATATTTTAAAGTATTTGATCTTTAGTATTTATCAGTATTTAGTTTTGATCATAGTATTTCATCTTTATTACATAAAAGTATAAAACTTACGATATTTGAACATAAGATTTAAAAAAAAATGCGTAATATAATGTATTCGAATTCTGTATTTTCGAATATATCTATGAAATAAAGATAATTGTAATAAAGATAAAGCGGTAAATTTAATTTTAAATGAAAATGACATCCATAACAGGCAATGACATCAAATTATATAAATATGAAAGTTTCTTGTACTTTTTATTGTGGACGAGTGCAGTATTATATTCTATTTATAATGTATTTTTAATTAATACTTGTAAGAATTTAAACATATATTTTATATATGTATAAATTTTTTATATATAATAAATTGTTTATATTATAAAATTATATATTATTTTTAGATTTTATTAATTATGATGATTCATATGGTGATTTTGCACCAGGATGGAAATGGATTGGAAGGAAACAAGATATTTCTGATCAAGAATGGAGAATATGGATACCATTAATAATAAGATTAATACCTTGGTTATTTCTTCATCATTTTATTAGTCGGATTGTTAAGATTACATCAAATTTTGTGGTTTGATATTTTTTTATCTTTCTTTCTTATTTTATAATTCATCTTTTTAATTAATAATTTAATTTGATGAATAACAATATATTTTTTCAGCTATTGTGTTGTTGGTACATCTTTATATCCATGTTATTTTTGTATTTTTATATTGGAATATTAGGCATGTTATGTGCATTAATGCAACCAAGTATATTATATATTTTAACATATAAACGTAGCACATATACTATATGGATAATAAATATATTATTTTTATTTATAATACATTTTTTAAAAATTCCGAATGGTTTCTTTCAAAATATATTTAAATTTAATGATGAAGAACATTATATTTTAACTCTTATAATGTGTTGGATTCAATTAAGAAGTATCAGCTATTGTATAGATAATATCAAATCACATTTAGAAAATAATTATGATAATATGCTTTTCTTTGTACAAAATTTTCTATATAAATTAGCATATTGTTTATATTTGCCTACATTATCCTTAGGACCATTAATTTTGTATCATGAATTCATTAATTCTGTATGTATAATATTTTATTTAAAATATATATTTATTTAATTATTATTATAATAACAAATAAAAAATATATTTTTATATTTTTGCAGGTAATAGAAACATCTCAATTTTTGAAACTTGCAAATTTTGGAAATTTTATTTTTAATTTAATTAGATATATTTTCTGGATATTTTTTGCTAACTTTTTCTTACATTTTCTTTATTTTAATGCAATACAGTATCACCCAGAGGTAATTTTCCTTTTTTATGTAATATCAAAATTTATTATAATATTATTATTAATTTTATTAAAATGAATAAAAATTTATTTTTTTTTTATATTAATATTAGATTGTTAAAAGTTTAAATCCATGGGCTTTATATGGATTAGGATATTGCATGGGACAATTTTTTTTAATTAAATATGTTGTAGTATATGGACTTAATCATACTTTATGTGCAATAGATAATGTAAGAGCCCCTCCACAACCTAAATGTGTAGCAAGAATTCATTTATATTCTGATATGTGGAAATATTTTGATCAAGGTTTATATAAATTTCTTATAAGGTATGATAAAATATATAAATATTTGATTAATATTAATTATTATTAATTTAATTTTAATTATTATTAAAATATACTTAATTAAAAATTTTAAAAACAATATATTTTTCAGATACATTTATGTACCTTTATTAAGATTAAATTTCAGCAAATTAATTGCTTCTTTTTTATGTTTTACATTTATTTTCATATGGCATGGAATGCAAACAAACATTTTTATTTGGGCATTCTTAAATTTTATAGGATTAAATATTGAAAGTTTAATTAAATTGGCTGAAAAAAAAAAATATTATTCAAATGTACAAAAAAAATATCTATCACAAGCAAATTTCAGACGTTTCAATTGTATTTTAACAAGCCCATTATTAGCCATGTCAGTAATATCCAATTTTTATTTTTTTGTTGGAGAAGAAATTGGAAATATTTACATCTATAGAATATTATATGGTATTTGTACTTAATAATTATTTAAAAAATTATTTAAATGTAAACAAATTTATTACACATTTTTTATGAAATTTAGAAACGTTTATTTTAAATTTTTATACAATTTTTCTTTACAGATACATGGTACAGTAAATTCATTTTACTGTTCTTTCTTTATTGCTGTTGTCAAGTCTCTATAGATATAAAAAATTGGGAATTACGAAAATATTCAAAACTATAAAACACTAGAAATTCCACACTATTATACAAAATATTTTAAAAAATTGTTCATAATTACATTATCAAATAATTTTTAAACATTTTATTATTTTAAGTACAAAATGAATATAAAAATACAATATATAACTAAAATTATTTTTTTTCATATTAATATTTATTACAAATGATAATAAAAAATTAGTATAAACATATGAATATTTTTTTAATAATTAGTATTTGTTTTACGTTTATTATTTTATATTTATTTTATACTATTAATATTTAACTTTATAGTACATACAAGGCACATTATATCTCACAATATATTTTTTGTGAAAATAATTTCTTAACTCTTCATTTTTATATTTTATACAATATTTAATCAATTTATTTGTATACATATTTCTATGCAGATACAATAAATGCTTTTATTTTGTTCATCTATTTTAAACATTTATATTTTTATTTTTAAATATTTATTTTAAGTTTTATATTTTAATGTTTTTTTTGAAAATATTTTTATAATTATAATAGTAAATATATGTATTAAAATATATTTTCGTTAGAGGATTTTAGTTGTACTTCATCATTAGAAAAACATATTATACAGATCTTTTTATATTTGTAATATTAAGTTTTAAGTAGTACAAAATCTGAAATTATTGTTTAAAAATATTAATATTGATATAATTTATTTATTTATATCCATTATTGTTTTATCAAAAGATAATGTTTTGAGTTTTCAATATGTATATTTCATATATAATTTATAAATACATTTTTAGAATTTATATTTTTAAAATAGAATATTATAATATAAATTATTACCTAAAATCTGCATATTTAATATTTTATATTATTTTTTGAATCATTAATATTAATTCTATAAAATAATATCTATTAATTATTTATTTTATATATTTTTGTAAGAAACCATTGAAAATATAATAAATTTTTATGGAAGACATTTTTGAGCTTCTATATTTTAAGAAATAAAAATATTTCAAAACATTAAAAAAAAAGTATTAAAATTGTTTATTTACTATAAATTGCAATAAATTTTGACAAAAAATCTGTATGTATATATAAAAAAGAAAGTACAAAATAAAAACAGATAATATATTCTATATAAATTGTAAAATAAATATAAAATATAATAAATGTTTTTGCAACTCAACTGTACAAAATATATAAGAATTCAAAAAATAATTATATCACTGAAATTAAAAATTTTTTTTTTTAAGCAAATTATGAATTTGTACTACATTTTCCAATATTTGGCACAGAAAAAAATATTATTGCTATTAAGTAAGTATATTTTATATTTATATATTTAAGTAGTATAATTTTATATAATTAATTTGTTAATATATACATACAAAATTATCATAAATTTAATAAAGATTAGTTTTTTTTTATAATATCTGGAATGTCTAAATAAAGATTTAACATAATTTTTGAAAATATTAGGTAATATTTTAAATAATTTTTAAAAATAAATTTTTTTCATTTAAAAATAAATGCATTTTTATTTACTTTTTAAAGTTTTATATAGTTATTATATATCAAAGCTATATTAATACTGTGTATTTCACACGATCAAAATATTTAAAAATATTTTATTAAATTTATTTTTTTTTTTAAGTATTATTTTCATATACATTATATAAAATTAATAATTCTACATTTTTTTTTCTAACAATATTTACATAACCAAAAACTCAAAGCATTATTTTAGTAGTATATTTATACTACAAATGTATTTTTATTAATGCTATTACTATAAGTATATTATAAAAGTATAATTATTTTTTCTATAAAAATGTTAAAAATCTTTTTATTTATTTTCAATTTAATTTAGAAAAAACTCGTTATTTAAACATTACTTACTTTCATCAAATATTTGTTTTTTAATTTCATTATCGGCAGTGTTATTTTGATCAATTTTAAAAATATTATTTTGTAATGCATTATTAGCTAATAATAAAATTGTATTTTGATTTTCATTTTCCTTTACATTAATACCTTGCATATGTTTATTTAAAAATGTAAATTTTTTACTTTTATTTAATTGTATTTTTGATTGAATTTGTGGAAATATATTTATGCATTTATTTTGAACTATTATACTAGTTAAGGGTTCATTATGAATATATAAATGTTCAGCTTGGTTAAAAAACTTTTTATCTTTTTCAAAAGAATAATTTGAAGATGTAATCATTCGATTCTTTATTAAATTTGATATAATTGCTTGATAGTTATTTAATTTTTTATTTTCTTGTAATAAACAATCTCCATTTTGTTTTATTAAAGTATCTGTAAATATTGATATCGTATTATCAGTAACTTGATTAATTTCTTGCAAATTATTTAAATTTATGAAGTTTTCCGATACAATACTCTCATGGTTTTCCATTTCAGGAAAAGATTTAAGAGTCATATTATCATCATTTTCTTTCTCATATTTTATATCTTCTTGAGTAAGAACTATGTGTTTATTGCTATCTTTGTTTTTTGTTTTAATATGTGTATTTACTTGTATTAATTTCATTTGTTGTTCACTTGCAAAGTTAGATTCATTATTAAAATAATTTTCATTAATTATATGTATGGGATTTTTAATTTGATGTTCTGAAAATTTAAATTTTTTTTGAAATTCTAAACTGTTCTCATTTTGTATATCATTAACTAAATTGCTATATTCTAATTTAATATATGATGGTGTTTCATCTATATTGTGATAAATTATTTCAGGTTGATCTGATTCAACATTATCATGATATATAATTTGATTGCTTCCATCTTTAATTATCTCTAATTTAATATAAGAAGTACTTTGCATTTGTGATAATTTATCTTGTACTTTATTTGTATATTCATCTGGTAAATCATTTTCATCTTTATTAAAAACTCTATCTTTTATAGATAATTCAGTCTCTATAGATTCAGTCTTATTTAAATGAGGTTCTGAACAAACCTCATAAGTTTCAAAACAATTTTTAATAATTTGTATTGTATCACTCGATTTCCAATTCTTATTGCTAATAGTAGTATCATTATTTATACTATATTCTTCATTTGCAATATCTTGCAGTTGATTATTATTATTTTGACAATGCATGATTTTTGTTGCAATTATATCCTCATTTATTATTTGATCTTTATTTGTATTTTTTTTTTTTCTATTAGTCCGAACTTTTTGAAAATCTTCTTCTGAAAGATATAACAATTCTCCGGTTGTTGTTAAAACTTTTCCATGTCTAGTTTTCAAATGACGTTTGTAAGTATTTCTTGTTTTAAATCTAATTAATATGAAAATATTTTTTTAAAAAATATGTAATAACACATTATTATATATAATAAAAAATCAGATAACTCACCGTTGTCCACAATCATCACATCCAAATGGTGCTTCTCCAGTATGTCTACGTCGGTGTTCTCTAAAATGCGATGGGTGTCTAAATTTCTTTCCACAATCTGCGCATGTAAATCGCGTTTGATTTTGATGAATTAACATGTGATATTTTAAGCTATGTCTTCTTGTAAAAACTGCTCTACAGATACGACATTCATATGGCTTTATTCCAGCATGACTACGATAATGAGATACTAAAGTTGTAGGTGCTGTAAAACTTCGAGGAGGATTACAAATCCGACATTCGAGATTATTTCCAGTTGGATTTCCTTTTTTTTTGATACGATCCATAAAAGCTAATGCCATTTCTCTTTCTTCTTTACTAGTACCTATAAATTTTGCTTTTCCTTTAGGTTTACTAGTTATAATCTCTGTGCCTTTGTTATCATTTTCAGATGACCATGATATTTCTAAAAATAAATCATGTTTATTACATGTATGTATGTGTGTATATATATATATATATATATATATATATATATATATAATTATACAAAGTAAAAATATCTTACATATTTACCTGGTAAATAGATAGTTTCAGATTTTTGATTAATTTTTTCTGAAAATCTTTTATTAATACATGGATATTCTTTCATATGAACATTATCAGTACCAACAATCATAAATACAATCTAATAAAAAACAATAATTAAAATTTATAAATTTTATGTATTATCTATATATTTTATCTGTTGTACATTTTATTTGTTATTTATACTTACATTTTCATCTGTTGTATTTTCAAGAGAATTATTAAAAAGTGATGTTTCTTTCTTGTTAGGAATTTCATCTTTTAAACGTTCAAAATAACTATGATCTCCAAAAACTTTAAAATCTATTTTTTCTGTATCTTTTTGTTCAGGATTATTTATTCTTTTAGAATTTTCCATTTTTTCAACATTTTTATTTTTATCTAATTCTTTAAAAGTAGAATCATTTAATAGAATATTTCTTAAATAATTAGTTGATTTTTCTGTAATAATATTTTTATTCTCCTTATTTAATGTTTCTTGTGGTTTTCGTGATTGTTGTAATCTGCTTTTCTTGTTTTGGGGATTTGTTTTGTAATTTTTATAACTTACTGATCTTGCAGTAAAGTTTTTATCTATAAAGTATATAAGTTTTATTAATTTATAATATTTCTTAACTTGTAAAAATACATAAATATTATATTGCTAACTTACAAGCTTCTTTATTAGTTTTTAAATATTCTAAATGTTCTGCTAAATGTGCTTTAATAGACATTCTTGCTCTACCTTCACTTGCAAAACTAGTATATTTTTGTCCACATCCAACGACAAGAGCACATGTATATGAATATTGTCTTTTCAATTCATCACTTGTGAAAATAGAAAATTGTTTAACTAATTGTGATGCAGGCATAGATAAAAGCTGTGGCACATTAAAAGATAATTCATGATTTTTTCTTTTTATGTAATCTGGTTTTGACTTGCATTGAGATGATACTAATGATTTACTACGTTTTTTTTCTGAATGTAATGTTTGAGATGCAACTTCTGCAAGCATATCTAATAATGCAGCTGGGCTATCATTTCCCACACCTAAAATGATCATTATTGTATATCATCATTAAAAATAAAATAATTATATTTTATATGATATTTTTAAAAAATTTCATTCAATTTTTATATTTGTGTTTTCATAAAAAATTAATTTATGAATTATATTTTTCATAATTAAAATTTATATAATATAAATAATATGGATATAAAATTAGTTTATAGATTAAAAATTTTGATAAAAAATAAATAAGTTATTAAATTTAGATTATTTATTAACAATAAATAATTTTACAAATTTTAAAACATAAATAAATATGAAAACTTATATATTATAATAATAACAACTTATATATTATAATAATAAATATTCAATTTTTTATTAATTATTTATTTTTTTTTAAGAAATTTAATTGATATATTTCTGTTTAATTTACTATGTTGAATATTAAAATTTCTTCAATAATAATAAATATGTTATTATTTTTATTAAAATTATGACATATGACAGTACTTCGTAAGAACATTATTTAATTTTAATATTTCACAAAAATAGTAAACAAAAATGTACAGCTTTAATATGAAAAATATTTAAATATTATTAAAAAAATAATTTTTTTTTTTATATATAAAAATTAAATTTGTTTTTCAAGCGTCATTCTAGCAGACGCCATAAGGACGCCCAGCAGACGGTTTTTCAATTCATCTTTATTATTTCTTAATAAAATATGTATAATTTTTATTTATATTACTACATTCAAAAAATGAGAATTTCAATTTAAAATGAATAAATAAGTACCTTCGTTATATGAATTAGAAGCATATTCATAATTTGTTTTGGTGTTCATTATGGCATTCGTATTCGCGGCGTACCTTCATTCCACTGCCTTCTGTGCACAACAGGTTCCTTTTGTTGCTTCCTTGTTTGCTTCCTTTCTTGTCAATCTTAAGAACAGTATTGCCAATCTGTAAAACGAAGATTTTGCATGTACATTTAAATAAAAGCTTTTATTTATTTATATGCAATTTTTAATATATTTTTTAAAATAATTTTTATATTTTGTATGTAATAAATAATAATAATATACAAATGCAAAATTTCTATTTTATTAATTATTTATAATTAAATACATATAATATATAGTATTATTGAATATATGTATAATGTAACTTGGAAGCATTTTAATATAAATATTAAATAAGTTTTATCTTTTAAAAATTATACTTTATAAATTACTTAATACGTTATTAAACTATTTTATGTTTTTTGATTATAAAATTACTATTCAAATATATTTTTTAATAAATTATGTTATATCAGATTTAGATTTTTTAATCTGTACATGATCATTATTATAATAAATTTTTAATTATTATGATTTTTGAAATTTGTAATGATTGTAATTAATTTAAAATAATTATATTCTGATATGATTATTTTTCAAGTTTATAGATATAAATATTATTTCAATTATATGTATATAAAAATATTTCTTAAAGTTGTTTTTAATATTATTAATTTTTTATTATTAATAAATACATGAAATAAATAATAATTTATATTAATTATTATATAATAAGTTGTATTAAATGTAAAAAATAAAATGAATAACTTGAAAAATTAATGTACAACATATATTTATTAAAAGTTAGATTATAATTAAGGTAAAAAATGTACAAAGCTTTTAATAGTATATTCTTAAATATTTTATTACATTAAATATATATATATATAAGAAGTTTCTAATCTCTCATAAAATAGAGATATGCACATATATATTATAATCTTTATACTATAAAAAAAATATAGCATATGTTATGATTATTTAAATAATTTATGTTTTTTCTATGACTTTATAAATACTTAAGTATTTTTTTTTATTCATTTACATTTTAATGTAATTTATTAAAACTATCTGTTGATTCATTTTTAATTACATCAGTGTCAAATATATCTTTAATAATATCTTGTTTTTTTTTCATATGAGATGTATCATGTAAATTATGGAATACATCTTCTGTTATTTGTTTTCTTTTTGCTGTTGTATTATGTTTTTCATAATCTTGGTTTAGAAATTCAATATTTTCATTATTATCAATAGCTTTCATTGATGCTAATAACTTTTCTTTGTTGTAATCAGTTATTTTTGTTTTAATATTATTATCATTTTTAATGCTAACATCAGTTAGCACATCATGAATTACATCATTAAAAGATTTTACATTATATGAAACTATATCAACGTTTTCCATTTCTTGTTTATCTAATTTATTTTTTTGTTTCTTATAGTTTTGAAGAAATATATTTTTACTTTTCATTTCTATTTCTGTTGGATCTATTCTATTTATTATTGCTTTATTCAAATTCTTTGAAGAATTTAATGCATCTTTCATTTTCATTTTTTGTGAATCATTAAAAATAATTTCATTTGTGTGCGATATTTCTGATTTATCATGTATTGATTCTAAACTATTAGTTTTGAACAATTTATTATATTCATCTTCAGGATATGATAATGATTCATTTTCAAAATCATCTTTTGTTGTGTTTACATTATTATATTCTTGTATTTTTGACACAGCTTGTTCAAACTTAAAATTCTCTAAATTTTCGGAATGTTTATATTCTGTTTGGACATTTTTTACATTACATTGAACATAAATGGTTTCATCCTCTATAGTTTTAGTTTGTACATGCATTTCATCAATTAAATGTTGATAAAGATTTTGTGATTCATTTAAAATACTTTTTGGAGATGAACACTTTTCTATATCTTTATTTAAATCACAGTGAGTTTCATTATTATACATAGATGAAATTAATTTAAATGTATCATTTTGATTCATTGTCAAATAATGTTCAATTGATTGTTTTTTTATTTCAGATTCTATTTCTGAATCACTTTCATAAGAATTTGTTCTTTCTTTTACTAAAATTTTTAATTTATCTTTATATTTACAATCAGAAAATTTTAATTCCTTTAAATCTGAAGTGTCACTTGTATTATTAATCAATCTAAAAAATAATAAGATATAAAATATATTATAATTATAAATAATAAGTAATAAGTATGTACTATGTACTATATATAACAATTAAATAATTAACTTAAAAAAAAAATTAAGTTGTGCAAACCTTGAATGTAACTGGTTAGAATTATTAGTTTCATTTATATAATTATCTTTATTATTTTCATTTTCATTTTCACTTTCACTATCTTCAGAAGAATAGATAAGATCTTTTTCTAATAATTTATTAAAATTCTGACAATTTCGATTATTATAAATTTCTTTTAATTTATCTGTATTTATTTGATATTTTTGAGCTTTTCTTTCATGTTTTTTTAATTGTTCTGAATTTTCTAAATCTATTATAATTTCTGAATTCTCATTTATTACGAATTCTAAATCTTTAGATTTTTCTTCTGAATTATTCAATACATTTCTACATGGTGATTTCTGAAGACGATATCTTCGTACTTGTTCCAAATTTGTCATTGTTTCAGATTTTACATAATCTAAAACTTGATTTGAATTTATTCTTTCATCTGTTTTGATATTTTTATCATTTGATTCAGATGTATATAATATGGGCTAAAAGTTATCATAATAAGTTAAATGAAAAAATTATTTTTGGAAGATATAGATATTAAAACATTATTTAATGAAAGTAATCTTTACCAAACTGTTTTTTTGAATATCTGCTTGCCATTTTTTGCTTTTTTCTGATATCTTTAATGGATTTGATGAGCTAAACAAAAATTATTAAATGTAAATAAATGATTGATTTATAATTGTATTTTTACATACCTAATGTCTCTTAGATTCGTGAGAGATCGCGTACCAAAACGTCGATTTTTATCAGGAAACAATAATTGTTGATTATAATATAATCTTCGTTCTTTATTGTCTAGTAAATTTTCTAAAGTTTTTAATTTTTCTGTTATTTCATCTAAATGTTTTTGTGTTTCTTTTCGTTTAGAAATTTCTAAATGTAATTGCTGTTTTAAACTTTTAGTTTCAAGAGTCAATTTTTTATGCAGTGTCTAATGAAATAATTAAATTATAAATATTAAATAAAAAATTATATATAAATATTAAATTACCTGTATAGTATCTTGTTGTTTTTGTATTCTGTGATTTAAATCAGAAACTTCTAATTGTAACTTTTCTCTCTCTCCCAAATTACGATCTTTACTGAGTTGTAATAAATGTTTATTTTGTGACTAAGAAATAGTGTACAACTGTTGATTTTTTTATTCTTTGTTTGAAAATATTGTACATATTAATATTCACCTGTAATTGCTGAAGTTCATTTTCCTTTTCTTTTAATAAATCACATGTTTCCTTCTGCAAAGTTTTTAACTTTTTATATTTAATTTGAAGTACTCTCAATTCTTCATGATGTGAATTAATTATTCGCGGAAGTTCAGCATTTGTTCCTTCATAACGTTTTAATGCAGAATCCTGTCTTTTCTGTAATGCTTTTAATAATTTATTTTCATTTGCTAATTCCTGTGAAAATATATAATTGTATTCAGTATGCCTGTAATTAACATATATATATATATATATATATATATATATATATATATATGATGTATATATAAATTTTAGAATTATAAATTTATATAACAAAATATTTAAAATTATTACATTTAATCGATAATGTGCATCAGCTAACTGATTTTGCAATTCTTTAATACGTAACATTTTTGCAGATAGAACTCTCTGTTCAATACTATCTTTGTTAAGTTTTGATTCTGAAGAAGGACAATGTTGAACATTATTTTGATATGGTCGTCCTATATATTAAACATTAATATTAATGACTATTCTAAATAATCAAGATTAATATTTATTTAAAAATAAACAATAATATAAATATATTTAATTAAATTTATAGTAATTTTATTAATAAAATTAATAATTATATTTGTTAGACTAAGAGAAAAAATACATAAAATTAAATATTAAAAATAATCTTAATAAAATTAAATATTAAAATATCTAATATAAAAAAAAAAAATATTTTAACAATAAAATGTTAAAATAAAAATCATATTAATCGCTACTAAATATTTAATACAAACCAAATAAAGGATGTAAGTTCTTTTTTTTAGATGAAAGATATGCTATATTTTTTAGAGGTGAATTAATTTTTGTTTCCACTGATGATCTTCCTAAATTAGAATTTTGCTTTCTGTAAATTATATATGTATGATTTTAAAAAATTCATAGTAATAAATACTTTTTGTTCATATTGAAAAAATTTCAAGATACATTTCAGAAATACAATAAAAATATAAATAAATAAATTTAATAATTTAATATGTATGAAAAAAATAAAATGGATTAATTATTTATAACTATATAAATTTATAACATAATTTTTGAAAACAAGATTTATAAATTTAACTTTTTTAAATATTCAATTAATTTTAACTATATATATAGTATTATAATATATTCAAAATAAAAATTTAAAAAATGTAAAATTTTTTAAAATATAATATTAAAATATTTATAAAATATTTAATATTGTTATGATTACCTATTGAGATTCTTATGAACATTGAAGTGTACTATAGGTAACGTAGGAACTTCAGTTTGCATTTTTTATTTGCAAATTCTACATCACAACTTGCATAGTCTTTGTAAAATCAAATTATTATATCATTGTCCAAACTTATTGAAAACTAATCAGCATCCATAGTTGTTTTTAATTGGTTTCCAAGGTAACTACAGCACAACATTTCTCTAATCAATGTTTGAAATTACCTATATATATTTAAAGAAATTTGTTCAAATGAAAACATATTTTTATAAATAACAGATGAAGATGGATGCATATATGTAAAAGAAGGAATATATCTACTAATTTATTTACAAATATTAGGTAGTATGAATCTTATGTGATAAATTCACAAATGTATATAATAAAAAAGAATATAACTTTTACTTATTTTTTTATTTTAGTTTTTTTGGATTATTATTTTTAAACATTAATTTTGATTATAGTTATATTTTAGAGATTTAATCACAGACATTTAATATTTTGGCAAACATTTACTATTATATATAATGCACATATATTCCTATATTACAAATTTTTATAAATTTTAAACAAATTTATCTTTTATGATTTACTTAATTTACTATTATTACTATGTTATTATTTATCTTTTTAATACAATAATACAATAAACAATAATTAATTTTAAATGATTTTAATTCTCTATTAAAATTGATAGGTATTTAATTAAAATTATTTTATCAAATCAATTTTTTTGTTTTAATATTTTTCAAATAATTTTGTTAAATTATAACATATAAAATATATTTAAAATATAAATCTATCATTTCAAATTCAAAGTTGTACATTATTACCTGTGCATTATACAATTTCAATTTCAAACTCCTGGAGTTCTACAGTTATTATCTTTTTTTTCAGTAGATTTGAGTATTCCTATATGTTGTGTTTCCCACAATTTGCTATATAAAGAATTCGGCATAGCTAATAAACAATCATGTGTTCCTCTTTCAATTAAACTACCATTATCTAATACTAAAATTTCGTCTGAATCCATGACAGTAGATAATCGATGGGCTATAACAATAGAAGTTCGGCCAACAGTTGCTCTGCGTAATGCTTCAAGAATATTCTGTAAGTGTTATATTATGGTTAAATATATATAAAAACATTTAACATATAACATGAACTTACATATTCTGTAATAGAATCTAAAGATGATGTAGCTTCATCAAAAATTAAAATTGGACTATTTTTTAAAATTGCTCTAGCTATTGCTACTCGTTGTTTTTCACCGCCACTTAATTTCAAACCACGTTCTCCAACAGGTGTATTATATCCTTTTGGCCATTTAAGAATAGAATCATGCAAATTTGCCATTTTAGCAGCTTCAAAAACATCTTCCTTACATTTAGATAAATTACCATAATGAAGATTATAAAAAATACTTTCATGGAACAGAACAGTATCCTAAAAATATTTATTAATTTTAATATTATACATATTATTAAATATTTTTTTAATTTGATTACCTGAGGAACAATTGCTATTGATTTTCTTAAAATATCTAAATCAATATCTTGAATATTATGTCCATTTATATAAATTCCTCCGGATTGTGGTTCAAAAAATCGGTATAAAAGTCTCACTAATGTTGTTTTACTAAAAAATATATTAATTAGTATATTTTAATTTTATATAAATTACATATATTATATATATATATATATATATATATATATATATATATATATATTCAGAACTTACCCACAACCAGATCCTCCAACAATAGCAATCTTTTTACCACTAGTAATAGTAAAACTAATATCTTTAAAAATAGGTTTATCTTTAACATATTGAAAGCTAATATTTTTAAATTCAATATTCGAATTATTCGAACTTATATTAAATTTCATTGCATTTTCTTTAGACTGGCATTATATTAAAAAATGTATTAGTCATTTATAAATCAATAAATGATTAAATCTTTTAAATATAAATATAAATACCTTAATAGCAGTATCCATTGTCATCAAAGTAAACATAGTTTGCATGTCGATAAAAGCCTGTTTAACTTCGCGATATACAGAACCTAAAAATCCTAAAGGAACCGATAATTGGAATAAAAGTCCATTGACCATTACTAAATCTCCTACTGTCATAGTACCTATATTCATATTATATTAATGAATTTTTATTTTTTAAAATTTTTAATACTTTAAATTATATATATTATCTATCTAATATTTTATATTATCTATATTAGTTATCTAAACATAAATAATAATATAAATATAATAAATATAAACAAATTACCTTCAATAATGTTATTAGATGCTAGTACCATTATTAAACTTAAAGCAGCACTAAATATAGCATTTTGTCCAAAGTTTAACATTGCTAAACTAGTACTCGTCTTAAGTGATGCTATTTCATATTTTTTTAATGATTTATCATATCTTTCAGCTTCAAATTTTTCGTTATTAAAATACTAACATAAAAGACATAAAAATAAATTATTTATAGAATAAGAATACCAAGATAAAATTATAATTATTATAATTGAAATAATAATTATTATATTATAATAGAAATAAATTACAAAATATACCTTTACTGTTTCATAATTAATAAGTGAATCTATTGCTTTATTACTTGCTTCATTTTCTGCTTGATTCATAAGGATTCTAAACTTTGTTCGCCATTGAGTAATTGCTAATGTGAATAAAGAATAAATTCCAACACAACCTAAAGCAATACTTGCATATTCTCCTCCACATTTTAAATATAACACTGTACTAACTAATGATAACTCAAATACAGTGGGTATAATATTAAATACCATAGCATTTAATACAAAATTTATACCACGACTTCCTCTATCTATTGTCTAGAAAAAATTTAAAATAAAGAAATCATCTGAATAATAAAAATATTAAAATAGATTTACTTATATTACTTTAGATAATGCTCCAGTTTGTCTACTCAAATGAAAAGCCATATCTAAATTATGTAAATGTAAAAATACATTTTTAGCTATTTTGCGAATAGAATGTTGTGCAACTTTTGCAAATACCGCATTTCGCAATTCACTAAATCCAGCTGCACCAGCCCGTGCTATTCCATCTATAACATAATATAAATTTTGTATATATATATGTTCAAAATAATTAAAATTAAAAACATAATAAAATATTTTTTTTTATAGTAATAATATATAATTTATGTACATCCAATAAGTAATGATGTTATTACAGTTGCAACTGTTTCTGGTGCAGTTTCCATATTTAGAATAGTAGTACCAGTAGTTGACATATACTGATCATTGAGAATATCTATTGCATATTTAAAAATGAAAGGGACTCCAACATTTAAAGCTTTTGCACTAATGAGTAGACCAACAGCAATTTTAACTCTTTTTCGGATCTCTGGATCATCCTGTAAATAAATTTTTTTGTCTATATTATAATATTTAGTTATTATAATTACAAAAAAAATATTAAAAAATTATTAAAAATTAAAATAATTTACTTCTGGCCAAATATATCTAAGCATTGCTCTAATCATATTTTTAGATTTAATTGGTTCTTTTTCTTGGAAATGAATACATTCACGACTTAAACTAGATACACCAGGATGAAAACAATCCCTTTTTTGTTGTCCTGATTTTCCTCCAGTAAATCCAGAAATTATTAATGGAATTTTAACTGAAGTGACAATTGATTTTGATTGAAGCATATTCTTTTTTTTCTGTGTATGATCAATTACATTTCTACTGCAACACTATAAAAATAATTAAAAATTATAGTATATAGAATAAATATTTATACAATTTGTATTAAAATCTTAGTAAAAAACATTTTAAAAATTCTCTTAAATAATATTTAATAATTTTAATTTTTATATAATATTTATAATTAATATTAATAATTTGTTATTTGAACTAATATTTTATTTAAATTTTTTAAATGTTATTTTGAAAAATAAAAAATTGAATAAAGTGTAGTGAATACTATTAATTTTATTAAATTTAATTTAATTTTTATTAAATTATTGTATATTATATATTATAAATTTTCTAAACCATATACATTCTTTTTATATTAATTAATGAAATGTACAAAAATTATTATATGATTCATTTAATATTGTAATATATTCTTCTATAAGATTTATTGCAATTAAAAAACAATTTGTACAATTGTAACAATATTTAAAATTCTTCATATTTGTTAAATAATTTGACATTTCTTTTTTTTTCAAATTTAAAATTTGTTTTGCTATATTATGTATGTTTATTATATCTTCTGATGTAAAAGAATTTCCATATATTTTTATATTCCAATAATCTTTTGGTAAATTTGTATTTATTATGAATAATGTAGATTCTGCATTATAATTTAAGCCATTTCTTGTAAATGCCATATTTTTTTGTAAATTATTAGAAATAATAAAATCTAATTTAAATTTTGGAATATTAAAGCAAACTTTTATATCAGAAATATCAAAAAAAATTTCATCTAATGGATTATTTGATATAAAAAAACCATAATGAATATATAATTTAAGACTATTATGTGCACCATAGTTAATAAAAATTTGTGACTCCGACTTAAATGAATTCAATGTAGTAATTTGATAAAATTTATTTCTATTTTCATTTTTAACTATAGATGCATGTGTAGCAATATGTATATCATGATTAAATAAATCTAAGAAAGGAACTAAAGCTAAATTATTTGGATATTTTATATTAATATTTTGATTTGGTTCTACCTCAAATGCATCTATATATACAGCTCTTGTATTAACAATATAATATGCCCATTTATATTTTTCAAATGTAATTATTTCTTTAAAATGTAAGTTACAATGAGAACAATGATCTTTCCTATTTACTTTCAAGTTATTTATAGATCTAATTAATAATTTAAAATCATTGTGTACTTTATGGAACTCATACATATAATCTATAATAAATGATGGTAATAAGTTTTTCTCCTTTTGTGTACAAAAATCTGGATTTGTTAAAATCTTTGGAAGACTATTAATATAATGATACCATTTTGAAATATTTCCTAAATGTAATTCATATACAATAAATATTGCTAATAAACAATGAGCACTATAATATTCAGTTTTTGAAAATAAAATATTGACATTGCTTTGAGATAAAGTGCATGTTGTTATTAAAATTTCATAAGGTATTTTAATTAATATATCATTAACTTTAATATCTTTTAATGTTTTTAATCCTCTACCAGTAATATGAAAATTATATGGAACTAAATTATAAACAGATAAACAGTTATTTGTTAATAACCAAGATTTAAGATGCATCAGACTGTCTTCTTCGTTTTCTGCTATTTTTTTAATTTTTAGCTTCTTCTTTTGATGACGTTTTCTTGAAGTTCTACCCATTATGTAAATGTTATATCTGCAGAAGCAATAAAAAAATGCTTTGAGGTAAATACCTATATAATTATTACTTTTTATATAACTTGTTATATGTTATCTATTTATTATTATTTATCTACTGCATGTAAATTTTACAATTTAATTTTTTGTTATAACTTATTTCCATAATTTAAGCATTCCAATATAACATAACTTTTTAATATAATGAAGAAAAATAAAAAGAATTAACGAAAAATCAATATCAAACATTATTATAAATTTTTGATAAATTTTTATGATATTTTAAATAAAAAATTGGCAAGAAAAGAAAGAGAAACGGAAGAAAAGAGAAAGCGAAAGACCGAAAGAAAAAAAAAGAAGGGGGAAGAAAATATATAAATTAGAAATATTATATTACCCTAATTCCAAAAGTAGAATATATTGGATTACGTATAGAAGTGTGAGAAAATATTCCTTCGTAATAAATGATTTGTTTTCGAGATTTAATTGAACACATCATAAATGATTTGGTCCAATATTTTTTTTCATTATATCCAATTCGTAACATACGACGACATAGAATAATACTTAACATAGTGTTAGAAATATTTATTCACAAATGAAAATACAAAAACAAAATACACAAATTAGGTTATTAGATCATAGTGAGATCACAAATCTAATAACCCACACTATAATCGTATATAGTTATTATATCAAATATAAATACTTAAGCTTAAGTACAAATATGTAATGGTACTATGTTCATTTAATATATGGATCCATCTCAAATTTATATATTCAACATGTATAAGTACATATAGTATATAATATATAGAAAGGTATCAATGAAAATTAAAATGTTAGTATTTCTTGGTTAAACTTTAAAATATTAAAATTTGAACTTTTTATGAACTTTTTAAATATATTTTTATAAATGATATAAAATCTATAAAAATAAATTATTAATTCAAAACTTTGCATACGAAATATTACATAAAAAAATAAAACATGATGTTGTATAATTCTTAAAAATCTCTAAAAATGAAATTATATAACTGCAAACTATATAATCTAAAAATATATAACTATAAATTAAATTCTAATAATCATTGAATTCAGATAATTAAAATTATTTTTTTATATATATTATTAAAGTTTATGTATACATATAAAAATATTAATTAAAAAAATTGTATGTTTATGATAATATATATTTATAATATTCTTTTTACTTTTCATTAAATTATATTATATTTTACATTTATATGAATACTAAATTACATAATTTTAATAACTTTAATAACTTTAATGTTTATCTTAAAAAAGTTATACAAAAACATTATATTTATATGGAACTATATATAAAATTTTATATATAATTATATTTCTATTTGATATACGAATTTTTAAAATATAATTTTATATAAACTTAAATTTCATATAATATATGTCCTTTTTTATAAATGTATAAAATGTTATAATTAAAAATGTTATAATTAAAATAAAATGTTAAAATTATATAATTATTATATATAAAATATATATTTATAAAATATATATTACATAAAATATTTAATTATTTCATCAATTTTTATCATATTATTTATTTTCATAAAAATAGTTTATATTTATGAATTTTTATTTTTATTATTATGTTACTTGTATTAATATCGAATAATTTCAAATAAATTAATATGCAAAAGAATAGTTTTTTATTTCATTTATCAAAATTATGAAGACAATGCTGAATATTTTAATAACATGATAAATTTTATATGATATTCTTTATGTCTAGTAACTTCGATTCAGTGAACATAATATAGATTATGATTGTATTATAATTTTATAATTTAATTTCTTTTAAAAAATTATTTAAATTAATGAATATTACAAAATTTATTATAGTATATGTGAAGATACTAAACAAATACATTAAAGTATATTGTTTTTAGTGATTTTCCATAATAAAAAATGAATAATTTTTGGACTAGAAGATGTATTATATCCTTCAAGAATAAGGTCAAAAGTGAAAGCTTGTGACGTTAACCATGTACTTTATACCTGTTGAATGCAAAACTCATGTTGAGAAGAAACAAATTTTTTGGGTGTGTGCAATACAAAAATGTTTACGAATAAAATTGTATTTACCTTATTGAGAAATGGAAATATAACTAGAGCCATTTTATGCAATGATCATAATGTATATTATGAAAAACAAAAAAATATGCATATTTCTGTACAAAATAAATTCCATTTACATAAATTGAATAAAGTTGAAGCAAAACTTACAGGAAATCAAAAACCAGATTGGAATAAAGCTGTTTCAGAAGCAGAAAAAATTGTTGGATACCCAACATCATTTTTAAGTTTACGATGGCTTTTAAGTGATGAAATAGCAAATGTAGCTTTACATTTAAGGAAGTTAGTAGGATCTAATCATCCTTTGTTAAAAACAGCTAAGTAAGTATTTTTTAAATATATTTTTTATAAATAATAAAATTAATTTTTATATATTAACATTTATCCTAATTTATTATAGAAGCATCATTTATAATGGACGTAATAACATGCAAGCATGGGGTCTTATTGTATTATTAATTTCAAAAGCTGCTGGTCATTTAGGTGTAGATGATATAGAAGAAGATAAAGCAGCAGGTGTTCTTCATAGGTATTATATAAAATTATAAAATATCAAATTATAAATTTAAAGTAAAAATAATTTTAAATAAATTATGATTTAGTCAACGAGCTTTAGCAGAAGTAACTGAAATGATACGTACTAGTCATCTTGTTCATAAAGGATTAGTAAATATAGGATCTGATGTTTATTTAGAAACATCTGAGTTAAATGACATGAATTTTGGTAATAAAATCGCATTGTTAAGTGGAGATTATTTATTAGCAAACTCTTGTGCTGAATTAGCAAATCTTCGCAATCAAGATGTAAGTATAAAAATTTTAAATTATATTTTGATCTATACAAATTTATTTTTATTATATATTATTATATGTATTATTATATTGTATTATATATATATATATATATATATATATATATTTATATTTAATTTGTATATATTATACATTATATTTAGATTGTAGAATTAATGTCAAGTGCTGTAAGAGATTTAGCAGAAGCAGAATTTGTAGGCCGCAGAGATAATCAAAATAATCCTTTACCTTCTATACCACCTGAAAATCGTAAAGATTATGCAGTAAAAGAATGGACTCTTAGAAATGTTTTAAGTGCTGGTGCTTTACTAGGAAAATCTTGTAAAGGTACATTAAAATTAGCAGGACATAGCAATGAAATACAAGAACAAGGTTACAATTTTGGAAAACATTTAGCATTGGCTTGGCAAGCTTGTTTAGATTTAGGCTCATTTAGTACAAAAGATCAAAATATAACATTTAGTCTGTGTTCTGCACCAATTATGTTTCATATTGAACATGATCCATCAATTTTGATGGAAATTGATAAAGGTTTGGAATGTGTAAATAATGTAGATTATGCTAAGGTAAGCATATTAAATATAAATATTTATAGTAATTTTTTTATTTATGAAATTAATAATTTTGAAAATGTAATATGTAGATTCATAAAATTGTTATGAATGGTCCTGGAATTGAATTGACAAAACAATTACAAAAAAGACATTCACAAAAAGCAATGGAAGTTTTAAGTGTATTTGAAAAAAATGATGCAAGAACAGCATTATATAATATTATAGCAGCCATGGGAGATTTCTAAATAACAATATCAATTAAACATTAATACTTTATATAATAGCCCAAAGATCAGTTTGAGGACTCCGTCCTATGTTAAGTTTTCAATTTTAAAACATATAAACATGTAATATTTATATTTTCTCTGTATTATGAATAGAATGTTAAGAAAATTTAAATTTTAATAATTAAGATAAGATGAAATATTTATGATTGTATATTATATAACAAGATATTATATATTTTATAATAAATAATATTTAAACAAACATTTTTAATATTAATCTCTTATTTATTATATCTATTTGATGTACTTACAAAAAAATATATGTATGTTCAGATATGAATAGCATTTACAATTTTATTATATTATAATATATTATATTAATATTTTTTTGAATATTTAAAAAATTAATAATATAAAAATTATTTTTATAATTATTCGTAAATAATCAAATAAGTCAAAATAATTTAATAATAAATTAATAATAAATAATTTAATAATAAATTGGCGACATTATCAACCATAAGCGATTGAACGATCGTATATATAAATATGTCACGAACAAGTACGAAACTTGACTCGAAAAAAGTTGTAAGTATTTTATATATTATATTAATTTTTATAAGATATTTAAATCATATATTTTTAAATTTTATTCTGTTTATATATCAGAGATTATATATTATATATTTTAAGAATGAGGTTAGACATAATATATAAAATTTCAAACTAAAGTGAATATTTATTTAAATATGAAATAAATTTATATAAAATTATATATTTCAGAATTCAGAATTATTTACATTGACATATGGAGCACTAGTAGCTCAATTATTAAAGGATTATGAAAATATAGAAGATGTAAATAAACAATTAGAAAGAATGGGTTACAATATGGGTATTCGTTTAATAGAAGATTTCTTAGCTCGAACTGGATCTGGACGATGTTATGATTTTCGAGATACAGCCGAAAAAATACAAACTGGTTTTAAAATATTTTTGGGAATAACACCAACAATTACAAATTGGAGTGCTGCTGGTGATGAATTTTCTTTATGTTTTGAAGCAAATCCATTAACAGAATTTGTTGAATTACCAGATCATTGTTTAAATTTAAAATATTGTAATGTATTAATTGGAGTATTAAGAGGTGCTTGTGAAATGGTACAAATGGAAATTGCTTGTTGGTTTGTACAAGACCAACTAAAAAATGATAATATAACTGAATTGCGTGTTAAATTTATTAAAAGATTAGAAGATGCTATTCCAGCAGGTGAAGATTAAATTTTGCGTTATTAAAGGTATATATATAAAATTATTATAATTTTTGTACATGTACATATATACATATTTTTTATATATATTTTTTTTATTTTTTTATTAATTTATTCGTTTAATGTTTATGATTGATGTAATTAACACAAAATATATTAAACGTAAAACATATGTGAAATATTTTATATAGAATGATATATTTTTAAAACATATCAATATAAAAATATAAAAATTTAAATTAAAATATATTAATATAAAAATATTTAAATATTTTCTATAAATAAGATATAATATTATTTATTTTATAAAAAAAAATATTAAATAATTTATTTTTAAAAATATATAGTTATAAGGTTAAATTAAAGAAACGTGAATTGTAGTTGTATAAAGTAAAAAAACGTAAATTAAATCTTGTATTTTATAATTTTATAAATATTATTTTTATATTAATTTTAAATACATATTAATTTATTTTTTAATATATTTTCTATTGTAATTTTTAATTTTTTTTTAAATTTTATTATAATTTTTCTTTTACGTATTTTTATAACCTCCAAACTTTAATTTTTATTTCTTTATCAAAATAAATCGAGTATGTTTATTAAATATATTAAATAATGATGAAAAAATTAAATATATTTAATATATAATATATTATTTAAAATAATTTTTTGTAGGTGATGGAAGTGAAGTGCAAACATTGTAGAAAAAATCTTTTTAATAAAGAATGTATTTCTTTATTTACTTCTCATAATGAAATAAAAAAAAATCTTACTAATGTTGGATGTGAAACAAATAATTTTGAATCTTGTTCATATATATCAGTGGAAAAATTACCTAAATGGATTGAACATACTATAAATCAAGTAAAATTTCTTCTAAATTATATTATTAAAAAAAAATTATTGTACTAAAAAATAAAAGTTATATCAATGAAAATATATATACAAATTTTATAATAAAATTTTTACCTATAACCTATAATAAAATGATATACATCTTTTACAGGAATCTTGGACAAAGGGTAGATTACGTTGTCCAAATTGTAATAATCGAATAGGTACATTTAATTTCGTAAATGAATTAAAATGTAATTGTAGTAAATTTATAACACTTCCAATCAAAATAACTAATAGCAAAGTAGATATATTTTTCTTTTCCAAATAATTCTAATTTATTTTAAATAATTTATCTTTTTATTGATCTTAAATATGATGCATAAAAGACAGATTTTAAAAAATATAGAAAATAATATAGAAAAGTATTATAGAATATTATTACAGTTATATATTATAGAATTTTATATGATTTTTCATAAATAAATAAAAAATAATTTTAAATAAAAAACAGATATTCAAAAACGACTTAGATAATTCAAACTATATATTAATATACAAATAATGTAAATATATTTATATAATATTAAACAAAAACATTGTTCAGATATTTTTCATACATTCTGCGATATCTTATATTTGTATACTTTGCATAAAATATTTATTGAATGTGACAAATATGTATTTGTATATGTATAAACATAAATATGATTATTAACTATTAATTCTTATTTATATTATTTAACTTAATTTTTAAGAATATATAAATATGCAAAAAAATTTTTTTTTGTAATTGTTAATGATTTATTTACAAAAAATATTTACTTTAAATATCCTTTATTATATATTTGTAAATTATTTTATTAACAAATAATATTTATTTTATATTTATAACAATTAAATATTTCTCAATATATATATACACATATATATACACGTACGTTTAAACGCACGTGAACTTAAAATGAATATTAAATGTGTATCATCTTATGTATAACACAATTATCTTATATGTTATAACTAATAAATTACATCATATATATTAAACAAATCTTACTTAAAATATCCACAATAAATCACTAATGCATAGCATTAAAAATGACTTAAATTGATTGTTATGTATTCATAACAAAGTGAAAAAATTAGTTAGACCATACAATATGTGTATTTAATATAAATTGTAAAATTTATTGTTTCTATATATTATGTTATTTTAAAATAAATTTATCATTTGTTTATTGAATTTTAATTCTTTTATCATAATTATAATAATTTATAATTATTCTTACACAATACATAATGTAGTAACATAATATGAATAATATAATAATAATAATAAAACGCATTATAATATTTAATATCAGCAAATAATATTATTAACATAACAAGGAACAAAATATTAATTATAGATAATATTAACAGGTACTGTATTTTCTTCTATAAAATCTTGATTAATTGCATCAATGATAAATTTATATAACTTTAAAAATAATTACAAATAATTTACAATATATATGTAATTAATATTATAATATAATATTTTAATATTTATTATTTTTTCTTTTTTAAATAAAATAATTTGTCAATAATATATGTATTTCAAAAATTTTAATAATAATTTTAAAATAAAAATTTATATTTTAAATTTATATTAATTAATTTTATTAATATTTCAATATGAATTTAATATATTAAATTCATTTGTGCATTATATACAAATTTCACACAATAATAATTCTTGATTCTATTAAATTTTATAATAAAAATTTTTGATAGCGAATTATAAATATCATATAGTTGTAACTAAAAATTGAGCATTCATATTATTTTAATATTTCGCATTATTACTAAAATAATTGAATAATTTTTTTACATAAACGCGCAGTTTATTATCCAAGCTGTATTTATTTTTGATAGCAATTTATTTAATTTTGTATTAATTTAACAATATTTTTAAAAACAAAATAAATTACATAAATAAATAATATAAACAATTTGATAAGAAAAACTAATTTAGTAAATGGCTTGTATTATAGAATATAATATTTAATTATATTAATATTAATAGTTTATAATTTCTATAAAAATTATTCATCTGATATAGTTGAGATCACAAAAAAAATATAAGTGAATTATAAATTTATGTTTAATAAAATTAAAATTAGAATAAAGAATTCTAATAGTAAATATTACTCATAATAAAATTGATGAAATTTAATTTATAGAAAGAAATCATATAAGCTTAATATTTTAGATATAACATAAAATATGTATATATTTTATAAAAATAACAGAAATACACAATCAACTTGGATTAAAGGCACATATGGTTTACTAAGAAATATTATTTGAACAATTTTAAAAATATGCTTGGACAATATGAGAGTTATGTTGATCCATTGATGATAGTATTCAGACTACAAGAATAGAAATAATAAATATTATCTTATATAAATATTTCTAATATCTGTAGTATATTTAAAATATAATAAAAAGTTTATGAAAAAAAAAAAATGAATACAACTTACATTAACATTGGATCAACCAATTTTAAATATGAAATAGCTTTCTACTATTTCCAGTATATTATTCAGTATTTAATATATCTTTTGTTTAAACTTTTTAATGTCACTGTCAGTGTTAAATATATTACAGTTCAATAAAATTTGATTGCTACAACTGGAATATTTCATCTTGCTGTTGTTGAAGTCTTTGTAATGATGTTTTCACTTTTCTACCCTGAGTCATAACTACAGCAGTTGGAAAATTATGCATGTCACTAGAAGATGGTCTTAATGATTCTGAAGCAGATGGTACTGTATATGCATTTGAAGTTATAGGAAACGAATTACGTAATTTAGAAGATGTTCTATGTGATTGTACATAGATATCATTATCCTCAGTGCAAAATCTAAAATATATTCATTAATAAATTTATATAAGAAATTTTTTTCAAGTATAAATGTAAAACTATTAATGATTGATATTCATTAATTATTAGTGAATAACTTACTCACTATTCCCCTGAGTACGTTTAACTTCTTTTTTAGCATTGGCTATAGAAGAATCCATTTTAGCTAAAAAATCATTAACTGAACTATCATCATCTATAGATGATGTTATTGAAGATGGACTAGAAACCTAAAAATATATTTTATATATTATATAATATTAAATAATAATTTGTTATTTATATAAGCAAATATTACATTTTGAACTATATTATGTTCAATTTCTTCAGTATTATCTAATGATAATGGACTTTCTGGATTAATAGGAATAAATAAATGTTCCCGTAAGAATAAGCTATCAGAAGCCCATAATCTGTTGACTCTTCTTATTTGTTCAGTCTAAAAAAATAAGATATATGAAATATACATTTTCATATATTTATTTTAAAAAATAAAATATATACTGTAACTCCATATTTTAGAGCAATTCCTTGAAGAGTATCAGTTGTTAATACAGTATGTTTTAATAAATTTTCATTTCTTGTAATATGTTTAGCTGTACTACCATATTTTTTCAGTGTCTTTCCAGTATCTCTTATGCACATTCGTTCTTCCATTTCTCTCGCGCCATTTCGTTCCATTCTTAATTTTTTATATAATATTGGCGCTTATAAAGCGCAACAAACATATCACTTTTTAATATTTATGGACAAGAAATTTAGATATACTTTAAGAATCATAATCACATAACCTATATGAACATTTAACGAATTCAATTTACATCTTATAAATGTTTCACTCGTATAAATAAATATTGATGTTTCTTAATAAAAAAAATTAATATGTACTTTATTAAAATATACATAATATTTTATTATTTTTACTCTGAATTTTAATTTGCTTAATAAATATACCTTTCAAAATACATTTAAAATTACTGAGAAACATGTATTTTAAATTATTCCATATATACTATATATTTTTTATAATATATAAATTTATAATGTTATATATACGACAGATAACTCGTTACAACTATATTGAGAACGCCTCTCAGCTGATCAACGTGATAATTTATAGATATTCTTTATACACACTATATTTATGTATATGTGGTGTATATATGATATGTATATATGATAATTTTGCTTCGTTTTGATTGGACAGTCAGAGTATTTTATATATATATATATATATACATACACAAATTATAATTAAAAAAATAGTATATTTCAACATTTAAAAAGAGATAAATGTATTGATAAAATAAAATTTTATATATTAATATTTAATAAAATCTATATATTTTTTAAAAAATTAATTTTCTCGTATTTTTTCAATAAAATGTAGATACTAAATTTCGCTTAAATTTTTTATAAGATCTATAAATAATATTTTGTGTTTATTTTTTAATTAATAAAATTGAATAAATTTTATTTTAATATTTTGATTCCGTTTCTTATAATTATGATTTATATATTCAGATTTGTAGAAGGAAAAAAATAATAGAAATGGAATTAAATTTTAATAAAAACATGTTCATTATAGTACGTTACACAGTTCATCTATTTTTAAATACAATATATTACAGAGAAACACACAGTTATAATTTACTGTTATTAATATTATGTCTCTTACATTATAATTAACTTATTACGGTTATTATTATTATTATTGTTGTTGTTGCTTTTTGTTGTTATTATATACCTACCTCGATAAATATATAAGGTAGCATAAAAATCATATAATGGGAGACTAATTGATGTAGGACAACTTCATTCTCGCGTAGTACGTCTTAATCTCCAGTAGCTGTGCAACAGTAACTGTAATATTGGTAATAAATAGTTAACATAGGGATAAATATTATGCTACTGCGGCAGTGTGCTTCCTGGATTCCGGGTAAGGGGTATTTTATCATCTAATTACCAGAACTATATAACTAATATACTACAAGACAGACCCCTTCCGCTATCCCAATTTATATTGCTACTTAGAGGAAATTTTATCAATAAGCAGCATGTATATAGAATGTTTCAATTTTTAAATGTTAAATTTTATTAATATGTTTTGAATCTAAATAAAAAAAATGTTATATAAACATAGATCATTTAACATTTTATTAAAAAATTACAAAAATAAGAAACATGAATGAAATGAATATGTAATTACTATAATGATATAGAAATAAATCATTTCCAACTACCATGTTACTAAATGTAATTAAAGTTTTATTAAATTAAGAATTTTGAAATTGAATATTAATATTAATTTGACTTCAAATAATCGCATAAAAAATTATATATAAATATCATTAATTGTTTATTTTTTAAATATTTTTTAATAAAATATTAAATGATCTATTTTTATATAATATTTTTTTCTTATTTAAACTCAGAATATATTAATATTATCGTCTAAAAACTGAAATATTCTGTATTTGAAATTACTTTTTTAATAAAGTATTGCGGATAAAGGTTATGTGCAAATTTTGGTTTCGTAACATGGATATCTATACGCTCAATTTGATTTCCTAAAGTGATATTTCAAATGGTAGAGCAATATAAGTTACAACAAAATTGGAAGTGTAACATGTATAAGTAAAACTATCTAGAAAGAATGAGTATAAAATCTGTTCCATTTGTATGTTGGTAATAGAAATGTGTATCTTAATTTACATTTCACACATACACTTTGGCAAGAGCATCAGCCCCTGCACTTGCTATAAAAGGTCGTGAAGGATGAAATGCTACATCTAAAATACTTTCGTCAAATTTTTTACGGTGTGCTGTTATTTCTTGAACACAAGTTTTATTATCCATATTCCATAATCTTATACTGCAATCATGACCTAAAAATAAAAAATTAAATATTTAATAATTTACTTATTTAATTAAAAATAATTATTTAATTTTAATTAAAAATAATTATTTAATTTTTTAATTATTTAATTATTTAATTTATTTTAATTTACTGTTACTTACTTCCTGAAAGCAAATATAAACCATGAGGATCTACTGCAAGACTAGTAACTGCATCCAAATGAGCAACCATAGCATGAGCAAGGGTAGCTGATCGATGATCGTAAAATCGAATATGTCGATCTTCATGTGCTGCAACAACAAGTGGTAATGTAGGATGCGCCACAACACGATTTACTCCTTTTGTTTCGTTGGCCTCAAGACGAGCTACGCTTTCGCCTGTTTCCGTATCAAATACCACACAAGCTCTATCATAAGCTACAACTAATTTATTTGACTCGTCCCTAATGAAATCTACTGATGATGGTATTCCATCTGTAAAAGAAAAAAAAAAATTTTAATAATGAGTTTATAAAATTATATATAATATATTAAAAAAATATACCTTGTTCAGAAACATATGTATGAAGTAATGGTGATTTGCTTTGTGGACTCCATAATTTTACAGTTCCATCAGCACTGATTGATAATAATTGTGATCGAAGTTGATACATGCTTAAACCCCAAACTGCATTTGTATGTCCTTTTAATGTTTGGCTAAGGACACTTGGTTCATAGGAGTCATATGGATCTATATTGGCTGATGGAAGTGTCCAACAATGAATCATACCATCTAAACCACCACTATAGCATTGACTTCCTGTACTACACATAGCTAAACATAATACAGGACCTGTATGTGATCTGAATGTATATAATGGTTCTACATCTAATGAAGCTGACCTGAAACAAATGAATTAATATTTTTTTTATCTATAAAGTGATAGAAATATAAATATAGAATTTAAGATATAACTTACTTCTTTGCTGGTAAAGTTTTATGAAGATTCCATAATTTGAGTGTATGATCATCGCTTGCAGTTATAAGAACAGGATCAGTGGGATGGAAGACGAGAGCTCGAACAGCATCAAAGTGAGATCTTAATGTATACTTTGCATTCCATGTTTTTCTTAAACTTTCCTTTGTAGTGGCTACCATCTAAAATATATTTAATTTTAATAATAATATTCTAAAATATAATGAAGAAAATAAAATAAAATTCTATTCTAAATTAAAAATAAAATTAAATGTTTATAGATGATATAAATTTTATAAATATATATACATATATCTATAAAAAACTTATCATCAACAATAATAACTGACATAATCAATTTAACTCACATCATATGATGTTTCTGCTTCATTGTTTACACATAATTGTTCTAATTCACCCAATTCCAATGTAGAGTCACCTTCTTCATTTAGACGTTTTGGATCTGTATGTGCACCTCTATGTATTGCATCTGTAAATTTATTAAATTTTAAATATTCAATCTTTTTAAAATATTGATCAAATTGAAATTTATTTGTGAAACTATAAATGAAATAAATACTAACTCCATTCAGATAAATAACGAATAGAACCTGGTGGTGATTCCTCAATTTCTGTAAGAAGATTCAATTCATTTAATACTTCTTCAGCTTCTGCATCAACATCTTCTGTTAAAAGCATAGGTGGCTAAAAATTAAAATGAAAACAATATATTAATTCAATTTAAATGAATATGCAATGATATATATTAAATAGAAAAATAAATAAATATGTTGCTCACTTTATTTGGTTTAGGATCCATATTAGTATCATAAATATCATCTCCTACATCTCCTTCCTCTTCTTCCATATCCATATCTGTATTAGCCAAAAATTCAAAGTTCGCCATAACAGCTGCTTCTGTATCTAATATTATTGCTTCTGCTATAGAAGATCGTTGCTACCAACATAAAAATATAAAAAGTATATATATTATTGTAAGTATATATTGATATATTATTATAAAAAATTGATATTATAGAAATTTGATTTGATTTCAGGTATATAAAAAATATTTACATTAATATAAGCATTATTTCAATAAAATTTTTATTGAAAACTTTTATAAAAATTATAATAAAATGATTAAAAATTATTTACCTCTACCTTTTTTTCTGAAGTTCTACGAACACTATTTAAAAGCCCTGTATCACTGTTATCTGATGCTTGTTTATTTGATGGTTCATTGCCATTTAATGCAGGAGTATTCATATCTTCTGAATCTGTATTATTACTTAAACCAAGTAAAGATCTTACTCTGCTGGATCGTACATCTATTATTGTATCAGTGTAACCAATTTCTTGTAAATATCTAAAATAAGAATTATATATAAACTATTAATGATAATGAACTTTATATTGTATGAACAATAATTATAAAAATATTTTATGTACTGTCTTAAAATTTGGCGGCCTTGTCTCCAACTAATATTACTGACAGATGTAAATGGAGCTTCTCCATCACCACCACCTCCAACATCAGAATTGGGACAATTACAAATACCTTCTTCATAAATAGGAGGTTTTGTATCCCCTTGAATTACTAAGTCAGTGCCATATTTTAGTTTATGATACCTTGCTCTATAAAAATGATGAAAATATTATAAATATTTTTTGAAGATAAAATTGTTTTATAATTTTAATTTAAAACAAAATCTTACCTTTCTTGTTTAAGAGCATATTCTAACATCTTTATTCTTCTTACTAAATCATTTTTTAATCTTTCTTGACCTTTTCTTTCCCCTTGTAAAAAAGCTATCCTAGCCTATAAAAATATAATAAACTTATTATACTTTTTTAACTTATATTTTTATTTAATTGCTTTTAATATAATCAGGTAAAATATATTTTATAAAATATACTATAATATATAATATAATATATTATAATTATTTTTTTGTTTTAATTTTATAACATAAAAATTTTTTGAAAAAATATAACATTATTTTTATAACATTAAAAATTACAATAATTATAATAAAGACATTATAGAAATATGATACATAGAATACAGTAGATTATAATACAGTAGAATATAATATAATATAATATAATATAACACAATACAACATAAAATTTATATAAAATTAAAATACTATTTATTATATTAATATTATTTATTAGTTATTATAATATTATATTATTTATATAATAACTAATACTATTTATTTCATTAAAATAATATAATAATTTCTATATATTAATAAATTAATATTTACTATTATTTACTATATTTACTATATTATTTACTATATTAAACTTTAAAACATAATATTATATAATATTATATGATATTATAAAAAGAAAAATATTCTTATAAAATATTTTTTAATTTAAATTGAAATAATTTTTTGAGTATATGCATAATGTACACAAAGTGACATTTGCTATATTGAATTTTAAAATATAATATTATAAGAAGAAAAATATTCTTATAAAATATTTTTTAATTTAAATTAAATTAATTTTTTAATTAAATATATATACAAATTATATTGGGATGTTTTACATATTTTCAAATTAATCATGTTTTTACCATTCTGTCACATGACAGATGATATGACAATAAGAAAAGAATACTTTAAAGAAAAATATATAGAGAAATTCTGAGAATTTTCCTCAAACAAATTAAGACGATACCTGAAATTCTGCTTTATCAAGCTCCCATTGCGATCTTTCAAGTTCAAAGCGAGTCCATTCATGCTGAATAAAATGTAGAATACCAGGCATAGAGTATTGTGGCCTTTCATTCTTAGCATCGCCATTAGTACCATTGTCATTCCCTTGATGTTTATTATTTGTTAATGGAACATTTGCACCACTAGATAATTGTCCATTATGATTTTGAGATGCAGAACTGGAGTTCTCCTCCATCGTGGAACCACAAAACTGGCTCGGTACCTTCATTTCATGACACGGCAGCCATTACAACAACTTTTCTTTCCTCTGGAGCCCAAAGAGTGCTCTCCTGTCGGATAATGTATTTCGATCGAGTTTGCGAAAAGAAGTAATTAATACGCATGCGAACGTATTTGATTTTAATATAACTAATATATTTTACATAAAATTTTATAATTTTTTATTTATCTATCAAAATTTAACTAATAGTTCAACTTTTCCGAAATAGCAAATAAATATTCTTTTCTTCGTACATCTTCAAAATCGTACTTTTCTCCACCATCCTCATATAATATATTCAGATATACTATATTGAAACTTTATACCGGCTTTCTATGATAAAATATCATTTGATATTTTGCTACCAACTTTCTTATTTATGATTAACATAGTTTGAAATAATTGATTTGAATAAATTAAATATAATTTATGAACATATTCTCTGAACTGAATTATAATATCGATTTTTATTAAATTATCTATAAAATTTTAGAAGAATAAGAAAAAAAATAACATTTTTTGTCAATAGTAAAACAATTTCAATTATAAATACCTAGAGGAGCTAAGTAACCAAAAATTAACTAGTATTGAAAATAGAATAAATCACTATAGTAATTACATTTTTATAAATCAGTAAAAAAATTATTTTTTTTATGACATAATATAATCAAATAAACAAAAAGAATATTAAATTTTGTATTATTTTTATATATACTATAAAATTAATTTTATTGTTTTATATTAAATAATATTAGAATTTTCGCTGGTGAAAAACTTTAAAAATCTACTTTATAGAATATTTATTATTAGTTAAAATATAATAAAAATTTCAATTTTATATAAAATGACAAATATAGTATATTTTAATTTTTTCTGTAAGACTGATTCAGAAGATTAGAAGTATTTTTGATTTTATATTAAAAAATCAAAATAGTAGTCGTTAATGTTTTGTAATGTATTTATAAATATGAAATTTTATATAAAAATATTATTTCTTATTTTTGCATATTATATATGTATATCAAAATTTAAAATAACACTAATCATATAAAAATATTATCAACATCATAAATATTTTTACAAAATATATTTTTAATTATTAATATTTACATTTTCATTACAAATATAGTTAATTTAATAAAATTTAAAATAGATTAAAAAAAATAATATATATTTTACAATATTAAATAATATTAAATAATGTAATTGGATTAAAAATTAAATTAAATTATTTTATAGAAAATTAAATTAAATTATTTTATATAAAATTTCTATTTTAATTTTCATTTCTATATTATATATTCTACATTAAATAAATTTGTCTACTTAATATTTATAAATATTATATATTATATATAATTATATTTGCACATAATAAAATTCAAGAATATATAATATATATTATTTATTATATATAATAGCAATTATATTTATATACAAGATTATACATATAT